ACCATTAGTTTATTTCCATTGATGTTAATCCCAATTTTTTACTGACTGATTTATTACATGCTTGCCAGACGAGGCATTTTTGAAGGCGCTTATCTGATAGGAAGACTCCACTTCCTTGAACAAGGTAGCCCGGACCGCAACTACGGAGACTTTACCATTTTCCGTGGTCAATGAGGCAGTCATTTGCCAAAATCGCTCTCCACCCCCACCGGTTGGCAGTTCCACCCACAGATTACCTGTACGTGACCTCTACTGTACCTTTGTAGAACCTGTAGAGCCGTGTCTGTCCTCTCTCTCTCAATCTCTCTCTCTCTCGTCTTTCTATTCTCTTATTCCTCCTCCCTACTGCTTAACCCACGCTCGCAGTGTTTTTTTACCCTCCCTCTCGTCCAGTTTTGTCTGCTTATTTTTGCTGAATCAGCTAGAATCTGCGCCCTCACAACTTCTATCGTGAAACGTGCCGTATCGCATGACATACATGCGCAGTCATAGATTTTTTTATTCGTTGCATGATTTCTTATGTGACACTTCTTTCATGTTCTAAAGCTATCAGAACGCGTTTCCGGGCACAGGCATATTTCACATAAAACATTGAAAAAAGCAAATAAAATCACCGGTTATTGGAAAGGCAGAAACGGTGCGGAGGCACCCACCACATAAAATGCCTCGAACATTTTCCATCGCCTTCATTTTGAATTAGTAATACTTTACGGTCCACTGTCTCATAATTACGTAAGGTGCAGTTCGGGTCTCGTTCCAGGTCATGTTCCTTGCCCACAATTCAGCATTCTTGCTAACTAACTCAGCTTTTTTGCCTGTTTAGGAAGAATGCTAGCAAAATTGTCGCCCTTTTCACTGATGGCTTATCGATAGATGATCCAGTGAAACCTTCTGAGCATCTACGACTTCAAAGAGGTGAGAAAATCGATATTCATATAATAACTTTTCATTTATTACTCAATTTCATCTGATCATTGCGATGCTTTGCTTTTCCAGTCTAGCTTATGTACACTACTTATTTAGGAGTAAAAATATATGTGGTAAGCGTGAATGCCGATGGATTTGTGCCGGAAATGCAACGTATCGCCGGTGAAAGCGCGAACGTTTACGGGTGAGAAACTGTAATTGTTCGTGTTCCGTGAAAGTTGTCCGATGACACGCATAGATTGTAGTTATGCCTTTTTCAAGGCAGAATGCGGAAAAACCTTCGCCATTAAATGTCACGTTGAAGGGAAAACCTGTTCTCGCTTTTTACTGGAAGCTTGGATATACCTTTACAACGGCAATGGGTTGAAAAACCGGGGTCAAGTCGAAGGTTAAGTCATAACAGTCATGTTATTACAATCCTATGGCTGTAACCGTAACATGCATTTTGTTTAGTAAGTCTCTGCTTATAGCTGATATCGTTGCAATCAGTCAAGGCGTTGTTAGGAGACGTAGAATGGGTTCACCCTCAGCCTTTTCTACCAGCAGTGATTGGATCATGAAGCAAACAACCAATGGTAGAAAAGGCCGCGGATTTTATTTTTTGGTTGTGCAATCATGGACTTGTGCTTTTTTCCCTGCGAGCGTCGAAAGTATTGGTCCGCATGGCATGAAACTGGCCCCAACCGGTAGAAGGAGAAGGATAGGTGAAAGAGAAAGCAAGGAAGGAAAAGTGAAGAGGAAAGAAAAGGAAAGATGAAGAGCTTCGGCGTTGACAATATCCGGACGACAAACGACGTGTAGTAAACGGAGCCGTCATAGTTACTGTAGCCAATTATGATGAGTTGGTTTCATAATCGTGGCACGTGAGAAACTATGAAGTATACAATCTGATGCCGCATATCCCTAAGATGATCTTTTTGGGACATTTGTATTGGGAAGCGTCCTAGCACTTGAAGGTGCAGTTCATGATGATCATTAAGGTGAAACCTTTCCCTGCGCGAGGTGAGCAAGTCGGGAGCTGCAGAAGTGTAACACTTTTGCCAATCAAAATTAGCTAAATCTAAACCTGTTTTGCATGTCCCGTCAGCGCAAGAGAGGCTATAGGAGCGCGAGGCCGTCGCACGGCCAGCAGTACTCCATACGAGCATGCTGACACACTGCTGAAGTCAAGCCGCAGAGAACGATAGCGTTTCAACCGTTTTTGAGAGGACACGGACAAGTACCGCGAGCGACGGCGGCTGTTTGGACGGAACTGGCTAGCCGTCAAATGGCGTGCGGCGTGCTGCGTATCACCGGTTCGTGGCTGGTGCAGAAATACAGCACATCGAGCTTACTTAATCCTCCCGCTTCACATTTTCGAGTAAGGGAAATAGTACACTTATTCAGCTACCGACGTGCCTTACTCGTGCATGGGAGAAGCTCACCATGACAGTATCACTAAATCATGAGGAATATCAAATGGGATACAGCACCCCAAACTACGCGTAAAATTTTGATGCCTAGGAGTGCCTGGGTCACCGCCTAGGCGATACCTGGTTGCAGGTAATTAGCGTCGGTCTTGTTCCTTGGCCTCACCCTAGAAATTACTCCTTTGGGTTCACGGGTCCGGATACATTTGATTTCACGCCAGATTTCGGGTTTTCTGTATCCCTCTGTTTTGCTGAATTATAATCTTGCAATGGTAACAGTGTCTTTGGGAGGGAAATGTTGACACCACGGCTAAAGACATGTTCAAGATCGATTGATGCGATCCCGTTTCCTTGGATATTTTCCTTTTTTTTGTCCAAAAATCGATTTTGATTGAGCTCTTTTTACTTTCAATGGTGCAGTACGACTTCTTCTCATATCACCAGTGTTTAGCCCGGATGACTTGCAACTGTTGAAGGACCGTTTGCTAAAGGACGTTGAAGATGCCAGAGTCTGTGAAAGCGACAGAACGGTCTAATTTCCTTTTCACTTATTTCTCTTGATTCAATTTCAAGTGAATATCCAGAGGCTATTGTTGATGTTACGCATTACTGTGCTTTTAGAGTACTCGATCGTCAGCTGGTCTCACTGAGATTTCCAGTTCAACCAAGGCAATTCCCATTGAAATTGTCAACGAGGTTCTCAGCATCGGCGACGAACCATCATTTTTCCCACCACTTACAACTGTTCCACAAAAACTGCACGATAACGAGTATAAACCCGTGAGTCAACTTCTAGAGTATACTATCCAAAGATTCACTCTCTCATTTATTTGAGGTCCGAAAACCCAACGTTCCCTTTAAAAAGAGAGTTACACTCCATTCTGCCGAAGCCACAACACCATCCGTCACAGCAACTGAAATTTTCGAACGAGTTTTGAAAAGTGTCAACGAAGCGGTAAGTATGTGTTCGAGTAGAGCTAAAATGGTTGAGTTGAGGGAGGCACGCAGCTGCTCGACGATGTCCACTCCTCAACGCCACGAGCCCAGACCGCGCCGAGCTCTGGTTCTCTGCACGCTCTTGGGCATAAAAATTGGGGAGGGGAGGGGGAGGGGGGGGGGAGAGACTCACCCCTAACCTCTCTAAACTGCTGCAGTACCCCAAAGCATGACAGTAATATGTACGTCTGCACAAAAATTAGAAGAGTCTTCTCATTATAACGGACCACTCACAACACCCGTCTCACGGGCGTGCGCGCGTCGCGACACCAATCGATAGAGTCGCGTCCGCTATTTGCGGCACAAACAATCCAATCGCGCGGTTTTCAAACGCGGCTGCGATCGAGCGCGCTCCACTGCTGGCACTGTAGTGCTGCGACTGCTTTAGAAAGGTGGCTAACACTCCAGATCTAGAGGTAGAGCGTGGTCACTCGCTCGATTTGAGAATCGCGCGGCCAAGTTGCTTACGTGGCGTAGCATAAACCTGGCTTGGTTTATTTATGCGCGAAGAAAGTCAGCTTTTGTGAACTGCCCAAATGACTAGGATATTAGTTCCAAAATGAGGCGGGAACTGCAAAAAAGGCGGTAACACATGGGAGCACGTGCGCGCCATTCGCATCAAGGCCTTCATCGAGTGTGGAGGCTGCAGGCTACCACAATTGGTGGAAAACTGGCTGGTACCACGCCAACGCAGCCTTCTCGAAGCGCCCGAGCGTCAGTCGGGAATGAGACCATGGCTAATTTGTGCTCCTCGCTGCAGCGCGGAGTTAGCCACCACCCGACAAGCTCTTCTGTGCAACATACATAGGCGGTAAAGCCATTTAGTACTCCTGTATATTACAGTCTCACCAGTCCTATGAATTGTAAATTTTAGGAGATAGGATTTTGACCTATGATTTTTCAGTACAACCGCTCGACCACGTCAAACACCGGGGCGTGGAACCCGTCAACCATTGGTGCATGGAACCCTGCGACACCTCGCGCAGTTAGCGCGTCACCTATTGGCGCCAGGAATCCTTCGACCATTGGCGCGAGGAATCCTTCAAATACTGGCGCATGGAACCCGTCAACCGTAGGCGCATGGAACCCAAGGAAATCATCGGTTAGTGAATGACCAAGTTCTTCTTGATACTGCCCAGAAGTTTTGTGAACTTTTTAATACAAAAATTATCCAGGAAGTGGTCGTTCTGAAAAATAAACCGCGAACGAAAAAAGTTCGAAAAATTATTCGACGAAAATTGAAGCGTGTTCCTGGGATCTCTAGAAAGGATGAGACACGTAAGGTCAGTCTTAACTTTTACGAGAACTTCACCCGTCATCATAACTTCTGTTTTTATTTTAGTTCCACAAAATCATCCGTAAGAAAGTCCGAAGAGTCGTTTCGCATGCGACGTCGCTGCCAGAGGAAAAGGAGCCAAAATTGGTTCGCGGTTTCGGAGATTTCTCCAGAAGGTCTACAATACCAACCATAGATTTCTCCAAAATGGCAACAGTACCAGCCGCAGAGTTCTCCACAATGGCAACAGTACCAACAGCAGATTTCTCTAGCATGGAAACATTACCAGCCGCCCCGACAACAACGCCGTTGCCCACATTGATTCCCCAAGACGCTCAGGAGGTAAACTGTCCTAATCTGTACTGAATTTGCAACAGGTATTGCACTGACAATGAGAGGGCGGAGGGAAGTGTACCGGCAAGTAGAGCCATTTTTCAAGAGTAGGGCTCGTCAATCCAACCTCGCATTGACCTGTGATAAATGAAGACTCAGATCGGAAAGGTAAAACCTTGACTCGTACGTCGGCTGGTCCTTACAAATCACAGTATAGCTCAATAGCTTCCACGTGCAACTACGATTTTGAGGGTATGCAGGGTGCGTGGCGCAATTCCAAGAAGAGATTCAGCACCGAAAATTGTGAGTTTTGTCCCCGGCCCCATCAAAGTTGCTAAGCGCCTGGCGATTTGTTGATGGCTATAATATGAGATAGCGTAAATCATAGTGAAGCCGTACAGTCTTGTTCGCAGCGTGTCAGAGGGGATGGGTTTGGCGCGATGCCAGGCCGTTCCTTTTTTATTTTTTCTTTCGGCAAACGAAAGGAGTGTATAATATTGCTCGTATCAGTCCTTTTCCACCAACAGTTGTCGCTTACCCGCTTCAATGACTGCTGGAGAACAGATCGGCGACGCGCCAAACCCAGCCTCACCTACACGCTCCATGACCCGCGAATAAGGATGTATCGGAGGGTGTACAACTGTGAGATGAGGTTCGCCGAAGGGATTTATCAGGGCAGTTTCTCCATACTATGCTTTGGCTTGACCCCTCGTCAGTCAGATTTAGAGCACACAAGTAGCTATTACATCTAATGGGCAAGTTTATCAGCGGCCCACTGAATCTAGCAACACCACTGCTGGTAATTTTACTACGGTTTTCGTCGCACTAAGTGCTTGATATACAAGCGGCTGTTTGACGCCTCGCTCTTATTTCGAGTTGCAAGGATGGTTGGTATTACTGTCATCAACGTGTGGCGTGCTGTACATTTACACTAGCATCCAGCTCATCGACCTTGCATTGAACGTAGCACCCAATGTCGCACAAATTTGCACTGTGACAACGAATCCCCGTACGCTGAGCGAGCTGTTTGATTTTGCTCCACGATTTCGGGCTGGAAGTGCAAGAGGAGCCTCATAACAAGCTGGCTGATACAATAGGTGAGGATCGTCGTCCTCTTGACTGTACATTTGCAAGAAATCATCGGTTCGGCCAAATTCAAGGAAGAGGAGACTTTTTCTCTCTGAAGAGCTGCCGAGGTCAGGTCGGCCGATTGGAGTTGTTTGTGAGAGGTTACTAGTTCCACCGTGGAGGAGGACCCGTACCTCACCACCAGAGGAATGGCGACCATGCTTAGCTATGATCATTCGACGGCTGCACGTGGACTAGAAAAGCTCGGCAAGGTAGCAAAGCTTGGTCGAATGGTGTGCTGTTCGGGGTCCCACAGTGAACTGTCCTTTGTTATGATTGTGTTGGGTGTGGGGGTGGGGTGTGTGGAGTTGGTGGGGTGGTCCTCTCGTGTGTGTGATGGGGGCGGTGGTATGTGTGGGGGTGGTGGGAAGTTGAGTGTGTTGTGGGTGTTGTGGGGTGGGTGGAGCTAAGCGGTGGGGGCTGTGGAGGGCGTTCTGGCTCGGGGTGGTCTCGTCACGTGTGTGGTGTCTGAGGGGGTGGGGGTGGAGAGTTAGGGGGTGTTTCACTTTCTCACTGATGGTATCACACTGGAGATGACGAAAGGGTGTGTGGAGTGTGGGGTTGTTGGTGTGTGGCGGGTCTCTACGAGTAATCGTCGTGCGGGGTTGTTTGTGAGGAAGCGAAGGGCAGTGTGTTGTGTGTAGTGGAGGTGGGGTTGGCGACAAGGAGAACAGCCAGACAGCCTATTCCCCAAAAGGGCCGACCTCTTCCACCCGGCAAAAAGGTTCTCTGTCCTGTTGGCTGGTCCAGGAAGATAGGCATGGAGTACTGGGTGTGGAGAAAGTGGACAGAGCGCATTGACGTTCCACATACAGGACCCCAGCTGCGGAAATTGACAAAGGATCAAGTTGCTGTTCTCCACGTCGACACGTACGTGGAAGGAATGCGGAAATCGACTTCCAACCATCGACAACGCCCGACCTCACACTTGCCAGGCGACGCCCAGTCGAGCTAGAGATAAGCCACGGATGAGCTGGGGGCCCCAGCCCTCCCCTACAGCCCTTGACCTCGTCTTCGACGTACTGGACTGTTCAGCCACGTTGCAGCGCTATACTGCGACGGAAAAAAGTTCGAAACAAAAGGATTCAGGTTCAAGAAAGGCGTCGACGAATTTTTCAAGAGTCCCAGTCTGTCAAGTCTTGGTGGACCTCGCTCCGCCGCCACGCTTATGCTTGTAACCTCGTGGATTGAATATACAAGCCGTTGAAATAGCTGATATACAGGGGGGGGGCAAAAAAGACAGTCATTCAGGCTTCACGATCGTCACCTATGAGCGAAATTTTTCGCCACGCTCAGAAGGGACAGAGGGAAGTGGATATTGAGTTACCAGATGCGAAGATAACACCAAGATCGTGTCCTCTATAACGCTGGAGCTAGGCTGCGCGGATATCGGCTTCATGTACCGCCCAAATATGAATCAGTCTCCCTAGTCGCGGCCTTGGACTGTGAGAACACCTTAGGCGAAGTCACGTCGCCTCAAGCAACATCCCCTTGCAAAGCTTCTTGAATGAAGTCAATCCAACAGATAGTCCTAGCCGGCGAGGTCAGTGCTCTATGAATCTGCAGAACTCCACAATCGAGCAGCTACACCGGGACCACCCGTCGCTATACGCGGCTCCAGACATCCTGCGATTCTACCCTTCACCAAGCGCGCGTGCTTGATGGGGTGTGGACCGGCCGTTCCCGTCCTGGAATGGACATGAATCCGATATCTTTCCTTCGTGGTTGGGTGCCCCAGACTGAGGGTTGCTCTGACTGCGCTCGGTGATCACGTTCTACATCCCCGAGCAAACTCTGTAGCAAGAAATATCACTCCTCCCAACACTATCGTCGTTCCGTACTGTCTTGAAAACTCTAAGCACCTCGCGAAGCCTCTTGTACATCGCTCACTAGCATTGAAGTCCGGCGTACGGTGCCACACATGGAATTCGGAGCCGGCATCTGTAGAATCTCGCTCACTTGGATAGTGACACTGACGAACGTCGCCAGGGCTGACATGCACCCAAGGTAACTGTGCTGGAATATCCCAAGTAGGTTGACCTGAGCCTGAATCCCTTCAATTACTGCCGGTTGGCCCGCCTGAGTCAAAGAGGTGGTGGGTCTACTGGTGTGGCGTGAGGAATTGTGGAAGAATCGACCAAACGACTCTCGCCTCAACTTCCCAACCCGCGGTACCCACTCACCTTTCGCGCGGCGCTCCGAATCTCTCGGATGGTCGCTCCTCCAAAGAGCTGTGCGGAGCCTTAAGATCATTATAGTATTTAATAGTGCTCTTTAAGCTATGGTAGCTAAAAATGTCGCATAAACAATTGATATAAAGGTGTAACTCTGTAGTTCTGTTCTGTTGCTGGGGCATACTAATCCCATCTTGACTCGTTACTCACTACAAGCTTGTTTGCTTGGCTTTGCTGGGGCTTTTTAGGGTAAGGTAAGGCGGGACACAAGCCCGTTTTCATTAATGCTGGAAGCTGGCGGGCGATCACGACTTGTGGAGTACAATCCTTAACAATCACAGCCTCTCTGATACGCCTCAGCCTCTGACAAGAAGGGCCTTCACGATGGATGTAAATTACTCCCCGTTCGATTTTCTGTTTTAGAGCACAATCACAGCAATATGTACCATTTTCACTTTGAATCGGACACTTATCAAACCAAATCGGACGCTTTTTCAAGCCCAATTCGTCACATAGTATGAAAAAAGGGAAAGACCTAGAAAAAAAGGGAAACTTTGTTCCGGGTGACGGGAGAGGCCATAACCTGCTAGTACGGTCACTAGCTCGCCGATCTGCATCATTTTTGAAAAGTGGGCGGGGCTTCTACAAAGTGGGCGGAGCTTCCATTAGTGGGCGGGGCCGCTTGTCACAGCCTAAAAAAGTGAAAATTCGGAAGAAAAATCAAAATTCCGCGAAAAACGAAAGTGGGCGTGGTCAGAGGGGCGGGGCTAGTGTGCTAGTGTGTAAATGCATGCTATATTCGTTTTGTGAAGATTGAATGTGAAAAAAAAGACGTCGAAAAAAAGTTATAAAAATTCAGAACTTACGTCACTTCATTGTGAAGTGGGCGGAGTCATATATGTGTTGGTAGCAGACCTATACAGTTGAATGTGTGTGTGTGTGTGTGTGTGTGTTGTGTGTGTGTGTGTGTGTGTGTGTGTGTGTGTGTGTGTGTGTGTGTGTGTGTGTGTGTGTGTGTGTGTGTGTGTGTGTGTGTGTGTGTGTGTGTGTGTGTGTGTGTGTGTGGAAAACCACGGCCGCGCTAACAAGTGGGCGGGTGTTGGGGCGGGGCTTGCAGCAGTACCTAGTGTGGTGTGGTTCTCAAGTGTCCGTTGTAAGGGGTATGTCCGATTTGATTTGAATAGTGTCCGATTTGATTTGGAAAGTGTCCTTTCTGATTTGAAAGGTGTCCATCTGGTTTGAAAAGTGTACGATTTGATTTGAAAAGTGTCCGACTTAAAGTAAAAATGGTATATCTCAAAGCCGCATGATACGATAACAGTAAGAGGCGGAGAGGTAGGAGGAAACAGAGAACCTGTCTCCCCGTGTTATTCTGCCCAATTCATGCAGTACAGAGGAGGGGCGCACCAATGAGAGATCTATAATGATTGTGTGTCTCCACCTATGTGGTAATCGGAGCATGTACAGCTGAGGATCCCTCGCTCTAATTTTCGTTCCTCACCAGTTTTGCGCAACTCTGGGCCTTTTCCCGGATGCGATTTTTCTCAAAAAATTCATAGAATATGGCAGGACGTAGCAGTAACTTACAGGAAATAACTAATAATTCTTCTTTTTCAGATCATGTTCACGACAACACTCGATCCAATGCAATTCCTACGAACCACCAAAGCTATAATGACCATACCGGACATCACTTTCACATCCCAAAACCCAAGTCCTTCTCCTATCTTCAAATTTGCTATCCCTCCCGATGAGAACATGGACACAAATCGATTATTCGCTTCGAAGACCATTCTAGGCGGAAGCAAACCTGTTGAACTTTCTCCATCACACGAAGGATCAGTAGGAGTCCCACAAGTATTGGTCCCTAGGACCTCCTTCAACAGAGGAGAATCCTCAAGGTTCCCCAGCCCTCATGATGGAGCGGTAGGAGCGCCGCGTGCGTTTGCTACAAAATCGTTCCAAGGAAACACTCCACGAGAAGGAGCTGTGAAGACTTCACGGTCATTGGCTTCGGCTGGAATTCCGCGTATATTGGCTCCAGTTTTGGCACCACTACCACTGGCTCCAGCACTAGCACCAGCATTAGCACCACTACCAGCAGCAACCAATTCCTTCGGTAAGTCTACAGCTCATAAAGTACTAAATGACCTTCAATATGAGCAATTCCAGGCAGCACACGAGGCAAGTGCCCACTCGACATTCTGTTCATCGTTGACAGTTCAGGATCTGTAGGAGAGATATACGACAAGCAGAAGGTCAATTTGACTGCTACTACTTGTTGACGTCGTTTCAAAAAATAATTGCAGGAATTTCTATTTGATTTGTTATCTTCGATTGAGCCGGAGAATCAGTCGCACAGAGTCGGTCTCATACAATTTGCCGGTGCGAAAGTACAAAAAACTGAATGGTCCTTTGACACCTATCGAGAGCATACGCAACTAATGGAGGCGTTCAATGGAGTACGTCATTTCACAGGTGAGGGCCGCAATTAATCTCTGTGAGCATGGTAGGACTGGGTGCTATTGGTGAATAGGTGGTGCCAACCAATGACAGGGAACCTTCGCACGTGAAGCGCGCCCTTAAAGGCATAAATCACGATAATTCGATACTTGTTGAAAACTAGTATGCTTGCGCTCAGTGGAGAAATAGCGAAAAGCGAACATAAAAGGGTCAAAAACCAGAAAAAAAAACCTCTGCTCTGCACGGCATTTGACGAGTATTCTTGAACGAGTATTCTTGGACGAGTTTCCTGTTGGTATCATGCCAGCAACCGTTTCAATAGATACGGCTACCCATATATTCGTATATCCATGTACCCACGCTTCATATCAATTGCACTTCATAAATGAAGCGATAAGAAAACCAGCGTCTAACTGTGTGCGGTCATTTGTGGCCGGGCGGGGGGGCGGGCGGGCTTGCGATTGGGCGTGCTCGGTCGGCAAAATTGCATCGGCGTTGGTTTAAGCGATATAGGGGACTACCCTGTGGGCTTGGCTGTGAAAGGAGCCCCTACGCACCGCTTACCTCGCTCATGGGTCTCAGTCATCTCTTTGAGTGCTACCCCCGGCCCCGCTGTCCGATCCCTGTACGCACTGCCCGGACGTCCTCACTCCTACCCACACCTCGCCTTGAGACGCCTCCCCTCCCTCCCCCTTCGCTGAAAAAACTCCGACACGCAAGCATGAGGCGACAGAGGTACAGTACGCGCCAGTACCTAGTGCCTTAGTACTCTGCATCTTCCTCTCTCCACACACCGCCGCCGCATTCATGTCCACTCCACTCTCCTTCTTCCATTATGCTCTGTCCTGAATTGATTTTGAAAGACAAGTAGTAACAGTTGTGTCAGCGCGCGAGATCGCACCCCCCCCACTCCGCAAGCATGAGTGCTCGCTCGCACCAAACCCTCACGCACAGAGTCTTCACCCACGCCGCACCCTCTCTTTCAACCGTGGCGTACCTGGTGATCAGCTCACACAGCTCAACTGAATACCACGATAAAGACGAGTGGCTGCCCGTCACAAGCAGTCATTCAATTGCCACTACCTGGCATCGGGTGGATGCATGTCGTAATCAGGAATTTAGTAAATTTTGAGCGCATCACCTCCCTTTTCAACTTTTCAGGTACTACCTACATCGGAGCCGCGCTAGAACTAGCCGTTCAACTGCTGGAGACTCGACGGCCAGATGTTTTAACCCTTGTTGTACTTATTAGCGATGGGTACAGTGAAAACAGGGATTTGCAACCATCAAATCTCACAGGGATAGTTTGTATAATTGCAGATTCTCACAAGATGATGCGGTACGTCCAGCAGAAGTGATAAGATCAATGAGAAATGTCGAGTTCTATGCTGTCAGCCTATCTCAGCTCAGCAACAGGTATAACTTGATTTTCTTTCCAAGGCACATGCCACGCCTATCGGGTGGGCGGAGTCACTTGGACCACTGCGCCTTCCCCATTGGTGCGCCCTTATTTTCGCTCTCCAGGAGAACAGGGGTTTTTGTGGAGAGAGTCCAGTGGTGTAGGTTAATCCGCCAAAGGGTGCCCCTCGACATCTTGGATACTGTATTAAATTTGTCTTCAAACAGTGTTAATCCTTTTGTTAAGGGAGTACTTGCGCCAGTTAGTGAAAGACGAAGAAAAGCTGTCAATGGATAAAGATACGAGTAACTTCAGTAATCGTCTCAAATCACGTTTCTACTGTGGTAATTAATTGTATGCTCACGACATAATGCGTCCAAATGACATAATAATAAAGATAAATCAGATTGTTTTCTATCTTTGTAACAGGTCGAAGAGTGCCAATGTGCAATCCAAGCATGTGGGCGGGATCTCTGAGCGTATAGCACAATTCCCACTGGTGCCCTGTCTCTCAATGGGGAGGACCACGCGACGTCGCGTGCGCGATAGTCCGCAACCACGCGTGCTTGCAATGGAGCAGGCGCTCGATTAATTCATTGCGTTGATTGTGTTTGCTTCAGTTTTCAGATATGCCTTTCACTCTCTAGATTGCCATGGCCGCTTAATTTTGTTTTATTTGCATAACTAATTACATAGCAATTATATTAGGTTGTCCGGAAAGTTCTCAGCGTTTTGGGTGTTTCACTTTAAACGATCGTAACTTTTTTAATACTCATCGGATTTAATCGAAATAGGCACCATTCGAATCAGCACACTTTTGCCAATGTGACAGCAGTCGAGAAATCCCATCAAAGTAAAAAACTGGGTGGTCGAAAATTCACGAAATCCACGAAGGCTTTTTTGCCTGGTCCTGATTGATGAAGTATTTTCCAGCAAGGGAGTTCTGAAAATGTTAGAAAAGGTGATAGTCGATTGGCGAAAG